CCCACCCACCCTCCATACCATATCGCATACCCTAGTTATTTTATTCAACTAATTGATCATAACTATCTATATTTTTATCTTTAAAACAAGTGAAAATACGTTCTTAAATTATTTTCAACTAAATCATAGAAAACTGGGTCACAAGTCACATATACCATTTATCCATGTTGTAGCATATTTTGAAAGCAGACAAATACATTTTAATGCTACATTGAAAAGTAATTATATCTATTGTTTATAAATAGAATATTGCTTGATCGTTGTAAGTTAAGGAAAGAACGTTAATTATACATACGAACTTATATTAATATATTCATAGACGACTAGTGAAGCAATTTTAATACTTAATATAAGCGGTCTTTTTTTCATTTACAACATTTATGACTATCGACAATTATATCTAACCTAGAAAATATTAAAAATAGTCATTAAAAATTTTTGCTGATGTTTTATGAATATTATTTATAAACTTGGAGCTTATTTATATGATACTCGAATTCAAAATATTCAATTTATGCAAATTATAAATTTAATGACCCATAAAAATTAACGACTACAATTGAAAATGACTATAAAGCATAATTTAAAGAAAATATTGATCGAATCGATAGAATGCTTATATAATCATATTTTATAGGATATCTAAATTGTATTAGAATATAAAATGTATAAATATTAGAATTCGACAAATAGTAAAAGTTCGCAATATTGCGCAGTTTACGTTAAGACAGAAATGGATCTTTAAACGTGTTGTGCGCATATTTGTCGTTCGATTTACGATGAATTTTCTCATTGTATTATCGATCGTGACATTTCACGTGCGCATACAGACGTGAAAAATAACGTAGCATCTAAATACTTTGAAATTTTTCAGGATAGCGGGTATAGAAATTTTATATATTTCTTGCATAAATTGCATGAAATGCTACTACTACTACTACTACTACTACTAAATATTCTGTAAATGATTGATTCTCTTTTGTTAGTGAAACGTAGAGTATCTAAAAAAATCATACATTAATTTCAAAACTTTAACAACTTTAATAAAGAATAAAAGAATGATAAAGAAAAGAAAGATAATATGATTATTTATATATTTAGATTTTACAAATTAGTTGAGAATTTTTAACGGAATAAAATTATCAAGGCAAATAAAATAACTAATATAATATTTTTGAACTATTATACGAAAATTACTCGATACATTTATATCGACTGATACTTACAAAGATAACGTCCTCAATTTGAAATATTTCAATTAACTTGTAATTCTGATAAATATGGTTTAAAAGATTACTGATTTAATTTAAAAATTAAAAGAACAAAAAATACCTTCCTATTTAAAAATTCGTTATTTAATTGGTTTTTGAAATAAATCTTGTACTTTTTTCATTTTTAATTATTGAATTATTTAGACTAGTAAATAAAATCTTATGTTGTATCTATCATCAATCTAAAGTTTTTCGAAATTTTTGAACCAATTAAAAACAATTATTATTATTAATAGAAAGATAAAGACGTTTCATACTTATTCAAATATATATATATATATATTTATTAACATGAATATCATGTACACATATATTTATTAAAATGAATACTGCGAGCTTGATGCACCGTAGTTTTTACTAGAAATTTTACCAGAGAATAATTAATAATTAGTTATATTTACTCGCTATTAGTTTACAAAAATACATAAAATAATTATATAAAATATTAAATTTATTCAAATTCAAATATAGATTGAATAATGTTAAAAGCTTACCAAAGTAAATGATAAAATATCCTAATGTATATTTATTTTTTAGAACAAGGAACAAAATCTAAAGGAAAAATTAACGGGAAGTACGACATATAATTCATTTGGCGATGACATCTACCTTGATGACCAAGATGGACTAGAGGGCTCAGGCCGTGGAGGTGGTGAAGTTCGTGACGACCTCGAGGCATCTGGTAGTGGCCTTGGGCCTGATGATGAGGACGGTGACGACGGTAATAGTACTTCCGTACTTTTCATAAAATTTGTTTTGATTTTAAATTGTTATATTTTTTTTTTTTTATTTTTTATTTTAACGAAGCCATAAAAAATATTACAAAAATCATAATAAATTAAATGATAAATTATAATAAATTTTTTAAATGATTTCTCAATAATTCATCAATGTATAAAATAATACAGTTGTTTATTATAATAATATTATATCTATGCAAATTTATTATAAAAAAAAAAAAAAAAATCTAGTAATATAATTATTACATACATTTTCAATAATAGTTAAGGGCACTGATAATTTATTATTTATAGTCGTTCCAATAGTTTATAAGTCTAGTTGCACTCTACTTTTATCATTAGGATTACATTGGGTTTTGTAATAAATTAAATTCTATAATTTTGACAAATTATTATCAATTTCATTAGTACAACAGATAAACGTTTGCAAATCATAAAAAATTAATAAAAAATCATTAAAATCGATACATCCAGTAATAAAGTTTTTATGCTTTATTCAGCTATCATTGATAAAAATTCATGTAAAATTCATAGTATCTTTTAATCTCTATTCAATTTTTAATATTTAAAAATGAAAAGTTAATCATCTGATAATTGTTATCGAACTACATCTATTAAAATTGATATTGTATTTTTATTATATAATATACGTTTTATTCAACAATAAATAACTAATAAATACTTTGTCATTTATGAAATACATAATTCTAGAATGTTATTCGACATTATTATATCGAAGGGTTGTAATTCGGTACATAAATAATTTTATCTATGCGCGGACAATAATAAATAATGTATAATAATAACCAGATTATATAATCTATTAAATTGTTATAAATTTTTATGAATATTAATCATTATTTCATTAAATACATAACGTAAAATATCAGTGTATATTGATTGATATATTTAAATTTTATAGAATTTACGAATCATAATACAATTGAACCAGTGGCAAACAAACCAGTGGAACCTAAAGTTATCGAAGAAACAATATACAAGACCAAACAGGTGAGATTAATTTTACTTTATTGTATATTTATTAATTATTTATAATTTATTTTAAATTAGAATATTAATATCTCAATTATTGATTAAAAATTATAATTAAGAAATTGAAAAACATGATAGTTATAATATTTAATAATTTTAATTTAATTCAGTACAATTGTTTAAATATCAATTATTAAAAAAAAAAAAATTAGAAAAGTAAATAAACATTTTAATAATTGTTTGTAATTTTTTATTTAATTTTTTGCTGTATAAGAATTTAATTACAAGAATTAATGAAAAATTAGATGAGTTTTAGATAAATTAGATAAATTATTGTTGAAATTGATGATTTAATTAGCTTGACTATATTTAAGAATTTGTTTAATTTAGTACAGTTAAACGAATAGTTTTAATTAAATTGTAAAAGAAAGACTATCTCAAAACGTATTTTATCGAAATTTTCGTTGTATTATATTTAAAATTACTTGATTCAATGTCCACATTTGTATAATAATTTTGATCTATGGTAATTGTTTTGAACAACGGAATATCTATCGAATTAATTAAATATTGTCTAAAATATAAAAAAAAAATGCATTATTTTATTAACAAATTCTAATATATATATATATATATATATATATATATATATATATATATGCGCATATGCGTGTGTGTATGTGCGTGTGTGTAAATATTTCATATTTGTAGACAAGCATCGATACTGTTAATCGACCAGACTCGGGAGTTGATGTAGTTGAGCCCCCAAGTGGCGAGGAGGAACGCGACGAAGATATAGAAGACACACATGAAGTGTATATCATGAATCCAAAACATGAAGATAGGGCAAGTTCCTTCTTTGCTCAACCTGGTGTCTTGGCGGGTATGTACTTCATTGTTCTAGCACTTTCTTCGCCTTTAATCTATTGACCTCATGAATAAAAGAAATTATTGATTTTCAGTTGATTTACAATTTATAATTTTCTACATTTCTTTTACGAAGCTCTTTTCTATACTCGTATCTCTTAGTTGTTCCAAATAAAAATTTCATATTATACAAAATATGATCATTAATTAACTAATTATAATCTACAATATGTGACTTCAAATGACATTGATTAAAATGATTTAATTATTTAAATATAGAATTATATTTAATCAAGCTAATGCACTTTAATGTATGTAATTTCATTAATAGAATATGTTGTGATTTAATTATACATGTCAATTATAATCAAATATAAACAAAATTTTTAATCTTTCTATGCGCGCGTATAAACATCACACATGTCTAGAGGTATATTTCCATAAATATATCATGAATATTCCATAAATACTGGTATATTAACTTAACTATTTTGATAAATTATAAATAAACCATTAAATATTACAAAACCTTTGTATTGATCTTTTGTGGAATCTCATATGTTAAAGCACAATAATGATTAACTCTTCCTCTATATTTAAAATTAAATTTAAATTAAACATTGCGTTAAACTAATAGGCTATCACTAGGTTCAAATAAAAATGATTACATTAAATTTTAATATGATAACATGGTAGTTAATTTATTTGGATTATTATAATATTATACACTTAACTAGCTAGCACTCCTTTACCTTAATTTTAATTTAAAAATTATATTTTTAGTAAGTAAATATATTAGAATATATTCATATTAAACATTTAAAAAATTTATTTTCCACCTTTTTCAAATAGTCGATTATAGTGTGAAATAAAAATTGTGAAACTAAAAGTAAATATTTATTTTACTTCACAATAATGTATAATAAATTGACAGATTATACATTCTAAAAATTGTATAGGTTTTGAAAAAAAAGTGAAGATTTTTTTCTTTCCAATTTTATGTTAAAAAATATCAATAATAAATATTAAAATGTTGTACTAAGAATATTATTTTTTTTTTGTTTTTTTTTTATAAAACTAGTTTAGAAACAAAATCCAAATTCCAAATATAAATTTTAATTTAGTATCAAATAATTAATAATTAATAATTATTGCAAGCTACTTCGAAGATGGTCATTCATTACTTTATTATGTAAACAAGATTTCAAACTTATCTTTAATAGTTAAAGCTTTTTAATAAAAATTACTCTGTACCAAATGTCATATATGTAACTAACTATAAGCGTTTCGCATATATTTATAATTAATGATAACATTCGCCAAACGCAGTTTTATTATTATGTTTATTATTTATGACTTCTAGTCATATTGAATTATACGGAATATTTATTCAATGCGTTGCCAAATGTGAAATTGGTGATAAATAAATACGTTTAAGCATACGTCACAATAATATATTTATATTTATTTTGTCAAACCGAGCAATTAGATCACCATAAAAACGATGTATTTCAATTGCCGTTAAAAAATCTGCAAAATAATATAAAAATAAAATTGTTTTATGTTTCAGCGGTGATTGGAGGTGCGGTTGTTGGTCTACTGTGCGCGATTCTCGTAGTTATGTTCATCGTCTATAGGATGCGTAAAAAGGACGAAGGCTCGTACGCCCTCGACGAACCGCGCAGATCGCCAGCAGCGAACGCCTACCCGAAGCCTGGAGCGCCCCAGCACAATCGCGAGTTCTATGCTTGAAGAGGCAGAAGCCTTTCTATTTACATTTCCTAGGATATCGATATAGGAGCAGCGGCAGTCGCAAAAGCGAATTGAGAGTCAAGTGTCCGTTGGCCTCTCTCCATCTTACTTTTTCCTTCCCCTTCGTTCATTTTCTAACCCTCTTCGTTGACTTAAGTAGGGGAAGGACACGCGCTAGTCCCTCGGCGGCCCGGCTGCCTCGTCCCGCTCTACAATGCTCGATCAAGAGGGCAAAGCTACGACTTGAGTGTCATCCAAAGTGTACATCCGCAGAAAGATAAACACCTCATACGTTCACCGTTGGCTTCGAGCAGGACTCGGATCGTCGAGGGCTTTGCTGTACACCGTTAACGAATTGTCCATCGCATTATCGACAGGGAGACTTATATATATATATACAACAACAACAACAACAACAACAACAACAACAACAACAAAAAACAAAAAAAAAAACAAATAACTTTCGTATGCAATAATACGTAATCCATATGTATAGACTTATAAAACTAATGCAGCTTCTTCCTTTAACACTTAATCTCACTAACTATGTTCTCGCATACGCTCAATTGCTCGTTCACGTCTAATTATTCCTGCTCATTGGCAGAATTACTTTTTACCGTAGTCACCCGACACGCATTTATAAAATATAGAATTTCTCAGCTTCAGCGTATATCCTTGGTTCGTAATTTCTTTTTTTCTGCCGATACTACACTTGTGTTTAAGAATGTAGTCCTCAAATATTTAATTAATATGCTCATCTTTTCCAAGGATTATTCTCAGAATTAATTATAATATTGAATAAGAAAGAAAAAAAAGAAAAAAGAAAAAGGAAAAACAATTATCTACGAAAGAACTTGTTGCTTATACCTTTGCAATCGAAACAATCGGTAAAATCTAAAAATCAAATAGCAACGATGTATAAATCTTATGTTAATTACGATTAATTAATTAAAAATAATGATAAATACAATTTAGCTACGTACATGTTCGTTCGTACGCATCTGTGCTTATTTTGTGCATCTATGCGTGTGCGCAGGTGCGCATGGATGCGACTGCTAATATTTAATTATTAATTCTGTAATTAAAGTGTTCAACCGCAAGAATAATATAGACTTGAGGAATAAGATTTGAAAAGCTTTAGGAACGAGAAAGATGAGTAGTAATTCTTCCTCACATTTTACAGTTTTCAGCTGCGAATTAGCATCCGTTATTATTTTATTTTTTTTATTTATTTATTTTTTTTTATAATTTTTTTAATTTTTCTCGATTCATTCAATTGTAATATTTATAAGATTGCAAAGCATTCCAATTATTTAGCGACTACGTAAGTCTATGTTTTCGAATATTTGCAGATTATAAATTATGTTCATTACATGTCTTCGTATATTTTCACTCATTTATTGGAATAAATCCTATGAATTTGATATAATCTATAAAGATAAAGGATTACAATAGTGAAACAAATTTATCAAATTAGTTACTATAAAAAGTGTATTCGTTTAAATGAAGTAGGGTTTCATTGAGATATATTTCGAAAAATATCGACTGTCGATTATATTGTTGTCTATATTTTTTTTATTGATTTTAACACGAAGCAACATTTGGACAAATTTTGTCACTGTCAATATCTCTTTTAAGTATGAAGTAAAATAGGAAAGCATGTATCACTTCTTACTGCCATTTAATTATTTAAGTATATAAGAATGCAAGCGGATTGGTACAAAATTTTTTCAAAAAATCCGCTTTATATTAACTCGTATGCACGTAGATATTTAGATTTTTACTATTAATTTGCGAATTCCATTATTAACGCATAATTAAAGTACCGATGGATGTTATTATACTCAATTTTTTTTTTTTTTTTTTTTTTTTTTTTTTTTTTTTTGGTGAAATTATGTTATTTTTTCATTATTAATATTAATTTTTTTTTTTTTATAAAAATTGACATTGTATATTATAAAAAATTATTTGAGGCTGAATCATTTATCTCGACTTCTCTGTTTCCTCTGTTCGAAGTAACATGCGCTTGGTAACTTTGTCGCTTCATCAGAGTTTAAACTAGTTAATATTGTTAAATTTTTATACTCTATCCTAAAGCTGAGGGCTGGAGAGAAACTTTTGTTTTTCTCATTTTCTATTTATCAAGCGTTTACAAAATTTAATCAATGTATTTGAATATCTTACAATTTTTATAATTTGATCGGTCACAAGTGGCAAAAGCATACAAAAACAAGAATTAAAAAACAGATTTATAAATGCGATGATACATTGATGGATCGATTGTTGCCGATTAAACGTTTGCTTTTTCTTGGTGCCATTGCTATTGTTAAGCATGCTGTTAAGCATAAAATGTTTTGTTATAATATTATTTTCAAAACTCTTAATTATACATTTTATAAATTGTCAATAATTAATTCAAGCATATTAAATCATTGTTAAATAATATGCATACGGAAGTAGAAAATATCGATATTTAAATTACGCGTAATAATGTCATAACTTATTTTTTGTGTTTTTTTTTTTTTTTTTAACCTTGTAAACATTAATTTATTATTATAAAGTCGTAAATCATTGCATGGTGTTTGTCGCTTATTCATGACTACATCCTTATCGCTTAATCAAGACGTTCTATTTTTACACATAATGTTTTATCGTTTTATAACTGTCTAACTTTTTATGCGTTCTGTTTATTTTTCTGCGTTAACGTTTCTTTTGAAATTAGTAAAAGTAATTTGGCATTTATAGTCGTAAGAATGTAGATATATATATATATATATATATATATATATATATATATATATATATATATATATTTTTTTTTTCAAGGCAGTAGTTTATCTCATAACATTCTTAAATTTGGTATTGCATAAAATTTGAATCGTTTTATAAGAATATTGATATCAATCATTCAAATTAAACAAATATTTTTCTTCATTGTATAAATAGGAAGATTTTGTAACATATTGAATCAAGATATTATTATGCTTGAAATTTAGCGAATTATAATACTTATACTATTATTAATACATACTTGTTTATCGATAATGATGTTTTTCATATAATTTAACGTTGAAAAGAGTTTATATCAACGCTTGCTAATTTTTCTTTGTAGATACAATGATGAATTAATTTTGAAAATAAAAAATATGAGAAAACAGCGAATACAATGTAAAATAACAAAAGATATTCTGTTAATGCGAGCTCGAGTAAATTGACAAAGTAGACAACATTAAAATGAATAAGTAGAAAATGTTGGTTTAACTTATTTGAAAATCACTTACTGAAAAAGAAAAGCCGTCTTTGTTCTAAGAGAAATAATGACTAGTAATAAAAATTAATAATAATTATAATTGTAATAAAATAATATTTTATAAGAGGGTGTAATATCCCTAATAAAAGAGACAATTAAATAAGAAAATATCAGAGAAACCCGAAAAAAAAGTGGACAAAATGAGTACGAATTCATCCACGAATTTTTTCATTCATGGATGCAAGTTAATAATTTTATGCCGAATCAATTTATTTCATTAATTAACAATAGTGATAAAGACATATAAATATATGCATATATACACAGGCAACACAAAATTAAATATATGAATAACAATATTAATTTTTTAAATATAAGTAGTATCCACGTGTTCCCTAAAACTCGAATCCCATTTATTTTCCTTATCCTGTCTCGTTGCCTATCCCAAATAGTACGTAAGTATATGTATTTCATATATGTGTATATATTTATCTGCATACACGCACTCGTAACAAAAATCCAAAGTCAAATAAACGTTTATAATTGTATTTGTACACGTGGAAAAAATTTCGCATAGATTTTTCAACAAACCAAAATTTGATATGTGTTGACTAATAAAATTACTTAGTTTATTCCCATAAATTATATTTTATCATAACGAAACTTTATTACAGTAAGATATTTTAATAAGATGAAACTTTATGTTCGTAAATAAATAATTTATAAATTTACCAAAATTATTCAACAAAATGTAAAAATGAAATTGTTGTGAAACTGCAATTATTTAAGATAAAATTCTAAAAAATAACAAAATATCTAAAAATTTACTAACTCATATGCAAGATGTATATATAAAAACAAGGAGAGTGGAAATTTTCAAATAGTAATTTTTATAACAAAATTCTTTTTGATTAAATGTTGTGAAATTTTGAATAAATTATTTATTAAGTTGATTACGTTTTTAATTTATCGTTCACATTTTCTTTAATTAAAGAAACGTTGTGTGCAAATCTAATTTAATATTAAAAAAATTTTGTATTTTGAAATGAATTTTATAAATTACTAGAATATTTAGTTTTTTTTTTTAACAATAGTATCAAATTGGTTAAAAATGTAGAAAAAAAAAAGTCTCTTATCTAAATAAATTAAATTTAATCTAATGTGAGCTAATATAATTAACTCATTAAATTAATGATCAATTGCTTATTTATTATCATTAAAATAATATTTTTCTTATAAAATTTACTATTTAATAATATTTTACATCTTCTGTCTTTACTTATACTACTTTATTTAACTAATTTAACAATTTTATTATCTAATAATTACAAAAATTTCTCATAATAATTGTAGTTTTAATGATGCTTCGATTATTAAGGTGAATATCTGATTTTTTATTTCATTAAACGACTGACTATGTCACTTTCTAAAAAAACATATTGGAATTGTTTAAAAAAAAAAGAAGAAAAAAAGGGAAATTAAATGAAGAGTCTTGGGTGCGTATTCAGTTGCCAAATTACAATTGTCAGGAATAAAATATATAATTAATTAACCAAAAAGTTAATTGCACTACATTTAGTAAGAGAATAATGTTATATGTCATCGATCCTATTCTGTAAATAAACACTGTATCGTATAAGGAAATAAGATATATGATAAAAGAATCAGTAATTCATTTTCTTGAAGTGCTTACTATTTTTATTTTTTAACCCCAATAATAGATATATAAATTAAATTTGTTTTTTTTTTTTAGTTAAAATGTTAAAACTGCGTTTTATCATTGCTTTTGTTTTTTATTTCATTTTGTGTTAAATTTTGTCGTAAAAAATCAAATTCAATATAAAGCAATATGTAATGCAATATATAATTGAAATTCTCATGAGTAAACATTAATTTTATAATGTTTAATTTCACAAACTTTAATATTTTAATATTGAAAATTAATATATTCTAATATTGTGTACTGTTAACTGTTACATACACCATTCAACAATGGTTTACATTCTCGAAATTTATCTTTCCATCGACATAACATATTTATCCAATCATCCCAAATTCGTTGGATAAATATAAAGTAATTAGAAACAATTTATTCAAGCTCTTCATTATGTAATATTTATAAAAGGAATACTACATACTTAGCTTGAT